TTTCGGCATTACTTCTTCACTTTCGGCATTTCTGCATTTCTTCAAATCGATACGTATGTAATGCTTTTCGTCATTTCTGCACTTTCCGCACTTCTGCAGTTTCGGCATTTCTGCATTTCTTCAAATCGATACGTATGTAACGCTTTTCGTCAATTCTGCACTTTCCGCATTTCTGCAGTTTCGGCTTTTCTGCATTTCTTCACGAGCTATGAACGTGGCCTAAGACAACTAGTGCAGTTCTTCGCGGGACGCCCTCTTCTATGGATGTTATTTACAAATCATAACGCCGCCGTGCGTCGCGGTCGCGTCACGGCGTCAGCGGAGCGCGCCATTGGTCAGTGGAGTTAGGGGATTCCAGCAGTGTTCTCCTCTATGTAGAAAAAGAGAATCTCGTTTTCTGTTCACCAATAAGTTGAGAGCGTACATTCAGCTAGAACAAATAGGCACACTCACCTCATACCTAGTTCCCCTTGGGGAGTGGTGCGAGGTGAGTCTTCGGGAGAGTGGGTGTATGAGGAGGCTTCGCGCAACTGGGTGCTGATATCTTCTTGTTAGGCTCACCCAAGGGAGAACAACAGCAAGAATACCCCTGAGTTCATTTCATGAAAACGGTCGAAGGTTCGAAATTGTTTTATTTTTCCGTTTCGGTAGTGCTTTTCAAACATGCATTGGCAAGATACTTTAGTCCTTTTTTCTATTTGTTGAAGCTGATGCCTTTTTCCGTCTGCATGGTGCTATGAACAAACACATTAGAGAAAGATTAGGCTGAAGCAGTGTGGAAGCAATGGTGAGGGCGTACTTAGTAGCTCGCATAGTCAAATTGTCGAGCATTGAAGGCTGGTATTGGTTACCCATAATAGGTGCTGCAAAAGCAGTCCAAAGTTCGTGAAGTGCTCAGTCAGGGAAGGTCCTAGAACTGCTTAAGATTGGCTCAAGACCTCACAAATAGGCCGTGCAACTTATAGAGTTTAAGGGCTACGTTTTCAGATGAGCCAGAAAGCAGCTGTGCCAACCATTTAGCATCCAAAAACTCCTCGTTGTTTCAAATGTTTTTACATTAGGTTTTTTCAGTAACCTAGATTCTCTAGAAGATCACTCACGAATGTTTAGCTTAATGCTAATGAATGCTTCTTGGTAAGAGGCTACCATCCACCCTTTCAACTTCAACTATTCATTTCTCTACTTGCGCTCAGGGCGTGACAGTAATGCACAACATCTAACATTAGAGCATCAACAATCAAGGAAAAACAAAATACTATCGAGAGGGAATCATAATCCATGCAACGGAAGCCAGTTTTCTACCCTGTGTTGTGGTCCGTTCAGTTCAATTACCTGAAAGCAATAATCTCAACTATCGCTTATGAAAAGTTCAATTGAGGTACTGGTAATCCACTCGGTGAACAGAAAACGAGTGTCTCTTTTTTACATAGAGGAAAACAGGCTAGAATCCCCGTCTAACCTAGAGCATAATTCCACTGACCACTGGCGCGCTCGGGAGACGGTAAAGAGGATCGTAATTCGCCGCACCGCCACGCGCGGCGATGGGCGCGGCGTTTTCATAACTCGTTTTAACCTGTCGAATGAAGCACCGGACTTCATGTAGACCCCGTCATCGTAGACACTCATTACTGTTTTCGGTCCTTAATTGCATGTTGTCGCCATCTACTGCCTGAAACCATCGTCCTTTGCGGGCGGGACGTCGCACGCGACGCCCAGCAGCGCGGCAAATTACGATCCTCTTGTCACATACCCGGCGCGCTCCGCTGACGCCGTGACGCGACCGCGACGCGCGGCTGCGTTATGATTTGTAAATGACATGCCTTCTATGTGCTTGTTATCGACCGATTATTGTTTCCCACGGGATTATCATTCTCGTGTCTATTTTCACCTGAACCTAAATCTACACCCGGAAAAATGAAGGCAGTTTTCCGTGACAACAAAATGTCATTCGATTTGGAACCAAGTTAAAGTCTAAAGTAAAGTCTTCGCCGTTGATCAATCCCTTTGTGGGATGCGGCACGCATTCTACTTCCATTCAGAATCGTAGTGGCTTATTGAATGCGATGTGGCCTATACAATGACTTGCGGTGGCCAGCCGATGTACAAGTCAGTGTTTTATCCTCCCATACGAATCGGTACCAATTCACCGTCCCCGGGGGGTAGA